AACAAACCAAAATCAATTCTCCTGCGTCTGACAATTGCAGCAATATGACATATGTGTATGTTAGTTGTTGTAAGTACCTGTAGAAATCCAGAAAAACATATACTAATTTAAGCTTTTTTTTTTTTTTTTAAATACTGCCCAAAATATACTGACCATGACCTTCAAGCCTGACCTTGGCCCTAACACTAACCCTGGCACTAATACAGATCAAACCTTAACCCAGGTATTTCTTATTTATTATTATTTTTTTATTATTATTATGGATTATTTTACACAAAGTAATGTTTTTTTTCTCTGCAAGGAGAGAGAAAGATACTATATATCTCTGTCCTCCATTCAGAGAGAGAGAAAACACAGGGGTGGGCTTCAAATATATTTCTTGCTACTAACATAACCTACCACTAAAGAACAACCCAAAAAAAATTCTCCTACTTCCGACAATTGCAGCAATATGACATATGTGTATGTTAGTTGTTGTATGTCCATGACCTTTGAGCCTGACCTTGACCCTAACACTAACCTTGTCACTGACCTAATCAAACCTTGATCCAGGTATTTTTTATTTATTATTTTATTATTATTATTACACAAAGTAATGTTTTTTTTCTCTGCAAGGAGAGAGAAAGATACAATATATATCTGTCCTCCATTCAGAGAGAGAGAAAACACAGAGGAGGGCTTCACAGTGACTGATCAGTGTGATAGCCAATCAGAGGCTATCACAGCGATCAGGTGACCTGGAACCAGGAGTTCCAGGTCCTAATCGTTAGTACGGGACTTGAGGCTCCCAGTGAGTCCTCAGTCTCTGGCCAGGGTGTAGTGCACTCCCAGCACAAAGACAGATATGTATATATGTGGCACCATGGAAAATAAGCCCAGTCCAGTGAGGCCGCATATATGCCTACTGTCAGCGGGAAGAGGTTAAGTAGCTGAGGCTACATACAGTTTATAGAGCCCACACAGCGGTAACTTCTAGTAGTGAAGGTAATAGTTGGTTTGCACCAGCTTGGTCCAAACAAACTATTTAAACTTCACTAAAAGATGGAGATCAGCTTTACTAATTCCTTTATCTAACATTAATACCTTGTTAGATAATTAGAATATAATCTATGGTTCTGCCCCCAGTGTGTAGCAACACAGTCATATCTCCCCTGCACCTACTATTACCTGTTTTGGCCTGCAGCACCTCCTGCACTTAGAATGAAGTATTGCATTTGTAGTAAAATGAACCTTTCCACTATGCAAATGACTCTTGTAAGTCATGATGGCGGTTCACTTAGGGTGATGTAATTTTCGGCTCGCCTGGAAGATATCTTAATGAGTTGCAATGAAATTGTAAAAAACAGTTTTGAATTTGCAGTCAGTTTTGTTTGGTAAAAACATTCTATATTTTTTTATGAGCATTTCCTTTTAATTTAGTTGATTGCTAGAGGAAATGACTTGGGTGTTGTGTTTTCTTATCTATGACTCCCTTATGTGCATTTTAACTTGGATTATTCAAGGTTTTAAACTCTAATTCTGTTTTACTTATTTATCGTGCCTTAGAGCAGTGCAGTCGTCTTTATCCCGGGTACCTTGTGTTACTAAATTTTAATATTGTATGCTGCGGCTAGACCCAGTAGATTAAAACCTATTTTACATCTAATATGATATGAATAATGCTCCCTTGTGGAGGACTAAACATTTATTGCTGTGTTCGCATTTTTTTCAGTGTGTAAATAACTTTAAATAACCTTCTTCAATGTGTAACCACAGGGAGCGTATTCTAAAAAAAGCTGACAAGCACAAACAACATATTATCACAGCTTTAGCAAATGATCATTTAATTCCTGTTTTAGACAAATGTGACTTTTTTTATTTTGGTATTTAAAAAAATGACAGTGACTAAACAACTGTTGCATGAATTGCTTTAACAAATAAACTACTGGAAACAATGTCTACAGTGTTGCTTTGCAAGGTTTGTGACAACAAATATATAGATCATTTTATTTGTGGCCATATTGTAGTTTATTTTAAAAAAAGAGACCAAAAAATTGCAAGTACTGTAATAAAATGGAAAGAGACAAATTAAACCATTACGTAAGGGGGTCAGATTACTAATAGGGGATTTTTTCTGGCTGGTTAAAGTGGAACTTTAGTCAGAAAATTAATAATGCTAGATTACTTCAGGCTGGCTCCTTTAGCTAAGTGCCTATACTGTTTTAAATCTAGTAATACACTGGGGTTGATTTACTAAAACTGGAGAGTGCAAAATCTGGTGCAGCTGTGCATGGTAGCTTCTAACTTCAGCTTGTTCAGTTAAGCTTTGACAAAAAAACTGCATCCGATTTTGCACTCTCCAGTTTTTGTAAATTAAACCTACTATCTCACTCTGCACATGCTCAGTTGCTCTCTATTTTTAGACAGTGCGCTGAAAATCAGAGCCACTAGAGGCCAATCTGCTAACAGCTTTAAGATTTACTGCTGCTCAGGGACTCTGGGCTTCAGCCAAATGGCAGCCTCCAGCAAGCAGAAACATGAACAATGATGGAGGCAATTTACAGCACACACTAATTTTGTTAGCATAATTATTAATGTGGAATGTATGTTCCTTGCTAAAAACATTATTTTTATCAAGTTGTTATAGGTAAGTTCTGCTTTAAGCAAATAAGTCATTATACCCATAATAAATCAACTCCAAATGATGTAAAATTGGCTAAGACTGCTTTAGATACTATTATTATTTGAATAATAATATTTGAATTTATTTGGCTTTTCTGCAGTACTAATAAGTAAATACAGTACAATTAATAGGGGTGAAGTGTAAAAAAAGAGTCATTTTATTTCTCTTACGGACATACAAGATTATATTTTAGATCTGTTTAAAAATAATTACAAAAAGTGTATAGATGGTAGACAGTTTAGAATTTTAAGGTTTTTAAAAAATATATACTGTATTTATCTGACTTTAAAAGAATATGTACCGTATTTGCCGGCGTATAAGACGACCCCCTACTTTTCCTGCTAAAATGTAGTGTTTGGGCTATACTCGCCGTATAAGATTACCCCTCTTTCAATGCACACCAGTGGGAGGAATAGTGCCCCATCATTGGTGTCAGTGGGAGGAATAGTGCCCCATCATTGGTGTCAGTGGCAGGAATAGTGCCCCATCATTGGTGTCAGTGGGAGGAATAGCGCCCCATCATTGGTGTCAGTGGGAGGAATAGCGCCCCATCATTGGTGTCAGTGGGAGGAATAGCGCCCCATCATTGGTGTCAGTGGGAGGAATAGCGCCCCATCATTGGTGTCAGTGGGAGGAATAGTGCCCCATCATTGTTATCAGTGGTGGGAATAGTGCCCCATCATTGGTATCAGTGGGGGGAATCGTGCCCCATCATTGGTGTCAGTGGGAGGAACCGTGCCCCATCATTGGTGTCAGTGGGAGGAATAGAGCCCCATCATTGGTGTCAGTGGGAGGAATAGTGTACCAACATTGGTGTCAGTGGGGGGGGGAATAGTGCCCCATCGTTGGTGTCAGTGGGGGGGGGGAATAGTGCCCCATCGTTGGTGTCAGTGGGGGGGGGAGGAATAGTGCCCCATCTTTGGTGTCAGTGGGGGGGAAGAAAAGTGCCCCATCGTTGGTGTCAGTGGGAGGAATAGTGCCCCATCATTGGTATCAGTGACACCAATGATGGGGCACTATTCCTACCAATGACACTTGCTGGCTCCTGTTCCAGTATGGTGCTGCTGCAGCCAGCATATGTGGTTGCAGCAGCACCTCTGGACTGCACACTTACCGGCCGCTCCTTCACTCGAGTTTTGCGGGGCCGCTCGGCTCCGCCTCCTCGCCGGTGATTGGCCGCCTGTGTGCCTTTCCTGAGGTACAGTTCTGGCGGCCAATCACCGGTGAGGAGGCGGAGCCGAGCAGCCGCGCGAACATCCAGTGGCCGAATGAAGGAGCAGCCCGCGCTTCCTGGACCGGATCATCGTGGGACCGGAGCCAGGTAAGAGACAGCAGTCCCTGCCCAGCCCTGTACTTAGTGTCCCTTGGAAGGGGGGGGGGGGCGGCGGCGGCGGCGGCAGCGCGCCGCCCCGCCCCCCTAAAAAGTGTCAATATGCCGTATACCGGCGTATAAGACGACCCCCCGACTTTTGAGAAGATTTTCAAGGGGTAAAAAGTCGTCTTATACGCCGGCAAATACGGTAAATTAGTATGAAAAATCATGTAAAGGGTGAGTTATAAAAGTGCCCATGAGCAAAAACATCCTTGCACGATTGTGTATCAAGCGAGGTTTAGTAGGGTATATGTCCATTTACACTGTATACAAAGATGGCATGGTTTTTGATTGCTTACTTTGACTGATACTTTGCAGATGGGTGACATCATTAGAGTTTATTGCTTCAGTCAGACAGATCTTGTCAGGATCAGCAGGAAGCAAGGCCTGCTTATCTAATGATCAAATATGACTTCCCCTATGTACATATGCAATCACAAAATGTGTAAAAAGAAGGTTTTTAAACATATAGGTGCAGTGTTGACTGTGTTTATGTTGTTTATCTTAAAAAAAAAAAAAAAAGTTTAACAAATTATAGTTCCTCCTTAACTACTTGCCAACCAGAGATAGCCGAATGACGGCTACACTGCGGCCGGCCAGTTCTGGGAGGGCGTCATATGACATCCTCCCAGAACCCGCTCTCCTGGTGCCCCAGGGGGCGCATACCCGGGGATCTCCATGATCGCTGTGTCCTACGGACACAGCGGATCACGTGATGTGGTAAAAGGCCAATCACAGCGTCCTTTTACCACGTGATCAGCTGTGTCCAATGACACGCTGATCACCGGAAAATGCAATTGCCGGTTCTCGGCTGCACTTTCCTCACGCTGTCAGAGCGCGAGGAAAGTACTGCCGAGAACCGGCAGTTGTCAGGGCAGGGATTGGCACCGATCATCAGGGCACTGATGATCAGTGCCCTGATGATCGGTGCCCAGCAGTGCCACCTACCAGTTCCACCCACCTGTGCCCAACAGTGCACCCACCTGTGCCCAGCAGTGCCACCTACCTGTGCCCAGATGTGCCACCTACCTGTGCCCAGCAGTGCCACCCACCTGTGCCCAGCAGTGCCACCCACCTGTGCCCATCAATGCAGTGCTGCCAGTCAGTGCCACCAGTCAGTGTCCAGCGGTTGTGCCAGTCAGTGCCCAGCAGTTTCACCAGTCAATGCCTAGCAGTGCCTCCAGTCAGTGCCCAGCAATGATGCCAGTCAGTGCCACCTATCAGTGCTCTCTATCAGTACCCATCATCAGTGGCACCTATCAGTGCCACCTATCAGTGCCGCCTATCCGTGACACCTCATTAGTGCTGCCTATCAGTGCCGCCTATCCGTGCCACCTCATTAGTGCTGCCTATCAGTGCCCCCTATCAGTGCCCTTCAGTGCTGCCTATCAGTGCCCTTCAGTGCCCCCTATCAGTGCCCATCAGTGCTGCCTCATCAACGCACATCAGTGAAGGAGAAAAATTACCTGTTTGAAAAATTTTATAATAGAAACAAAGAAAAAAATTTTTTTTTTCAAGTTTTTTGACTTTTTTTGTTTATAGCACAAAAAGTAAAGTGCCCAGAGGCGAATAAATACCCCAAAAGAAAGCTCTATTTGTGAGAAAAAATTATAAAAATGTCATATGGGTACAATCTTGCATGACCGCGCAATTGTCAATCAAAGTTAAAGAATATGTAAACCCAACATTTCATATTCCTAAAATGTGTCTGCTGTACCATGCACTTGTATGAAAAATTATCCTGCTCTCTTTGTATTGCTTCTTTTGTGTGAAATCCCCTGGATATCTTTCCTAATAAAACTGACTACACTAGGCATGAGAGCACAGGGTGGTCAGTTCTCCAGCTGTGCTGGGAACTCAATGTACTCTCCTCCAATGATCAGACTTGTTCTCAGCCCCCCCCCCCCCCCCCCCCCACACACACACACACACACACACACACACACAGTCATTGACTGGGAAGGACAGTGTAGTGCTGTTTCTCCTCTCTGAGCTCCTTATGCAGCTGAGAATATAGACTATGTGATCACTTATAAAAAAGGGGAAAAATGTGTTTACTGTATATTGTTTTTTATATGTATACACAAATGTTTTGCCTGTTCTGTTTTAAACTGAATGGGTTGTTTTGCAAAGTGAGGGTTTACATACACTTCAATGTTTCCAAGGGACAGATTCACTTTAAGCAGAAGAGTCTGTGCAGCCAAGAGGTTAAATGATGTCACAAGTATTCCTGTATGTAGTCTTCTTTCCACAGAAAAAAAGTGGTACACAGTGAAGTCATCTTTTGGAGAGAAGTCCAGATTTTTCATGATTAGCGCATTTGTCCTTTAATATCCTCATGGGAATTGCAAAAACCTAAAATAACACTGTCATTATATAAACTAACTGGGACACTGAACTAAAAGACACCAGTGCAGACATAAGCAGGGCAGTATTCTGAGTTCATGCGACCCTATGCACACATTTATAATGACATTTTATTGTGCATGCCATATCCCATTTTTTATCCACATTATCTAATTATCATCACAGAAAATAAAACCAGAATGTATTTCTGTAGGCAGCATACTGTTTGCCTTACATGCAAAACTATTACTGGTCTATAACGGCATACAATCAAGAGACTGCAAGGGAAAAAAAAAAACAGGATAGTTGCCCGTTATATCAGCCAGAGAGAGCAATCGACAGCAATACATAGACAGTATATAGGAATAACAATATATAGTATGAGCAAAATCTTACAATTAAATTACAAGTTTAAAGAGTATGTGAACCCATGAACAAAAAATGTACAGTATATATTGCAGCTTACAATGTATTGTCTCTGACATCTGCAGATTCACTTAAAATCCAAGTGTATCATTGTTAGGAAATTAATTGGAACTATGGGATTTTTACTAGGTTCTTTACTGTAATACAACGATGGGAATACTATGATCTCTGCAAAGATGAAATGAAGGCACATTTTCTTGTAGTCCTAAAAAAAAATACTTACCAAAAAAAGTGATATGATGACCAGCCTCAAGAGTAGAACTGCTTGACTTATACTAATTAGGTATTGTGCATTTTTGAAATGGTGACGTGTACTAACACAATTTTAATATAGGTTTTAGTTCTTTTAAAGTAAAGCATGAAATACGAACAATATTATTATTATTATACAGCATTTATATAGCACCAACAGTTTGCACAGCGCTTTACAATATAAAGGGAGACAATACAACTACAATACATTTCAGTACAGAAGGAATAGGAGTACCCTGCCCGTGGACCTTACAATCTAAAGGAAGGAGGAGGTGGTACAAAAGGTGATAGCTGCAGGGGATGATCTGATGGAGGTAGCTCAAGTACAGTTCTTAGGTGGAGGTGGGCTAGGCTTCCCTGAATTAGTGAGTTTTCAAAGATTGCCTAAAGGCAGCCAGGGTGAGGGCTGAAATACTGGGTAGGGAGTTCCAGAGGATGGGAAAGGCTCTGGGGAAGTCGTGGAGGCAAGCATTGGAGGAGGTGACAAGGGAGCTAGAGAGCAAGATGTCTTGGGAGGAGCGGAGTGGGCGATTTGGACGATATCTGCAAATGAGGTTGGTGATGTAGCTAGGGGCAGTGTTGTGGATGGCTTTGTATGTTGTGGTTAGTATTTTGAATTTTATAAGTTGGGTTAGTGGAATCCAGTGAAGGGATTGGCAGAGAGGGGCAGCAGTTGCTGATCAGTTGGTAATGTGTATGAGTCTAGCAGCAACTTTCATAATAGACTGATAGATTTGTTTCTGTTTATTAATGCTATTTCAACTTACAGTATGTAATCCTTACCCAATCAGCAGCATTGTATGTAGTTACCTATATGAAGTCCTGTTGTTAAATCTACCAAGGGCACTGTCAGGCTGATAGATAGATAGATAGATAGATAGATAGATAGATAGATAGATAGATAGATAGTCATCCTTGCATTGGTTACTTAAAGTATAAGTTCACCTTTTGGAACTTTTAGGGTGGAGCATGTAACATGTTCCACTTCCTGCTGCCTCTCAGCAGGTGACAGCGGATGGGGGATCTTTTCTCCTTACCCACTGTCATAATTCAAAAAGAGCACGGATGTGTGGGGCTCCACCCACATGATTGCATCATTCGTTCAGTTTCCTGTGAATGAATGACTTACAAGTACTGTCTGCCGCTGCAGTAAGAGGCTTGGAGTTCTGAATGAACTGCGACAAAGCTGAGTGCCCTTGTAGTTCATTCACAAGCCCTGAAGCTTTCAAACAGACAATCCATATGTAGGTACAGGCTGAGAGCTTGTCTACAGAAGCCTGACTTTGCACCCCTGATCTACTGATCAGGGTACAATGCTTTCCAGGCTCCTTCAGGAAAAAATAATAAATGCTCTTTTTTTTTGCCAAAATATGTGCATTATTATTTTTTTTAAAAAGGTGAACTTATTTTTTAAAGCTGGCCATTCACACATAGATGTTTTAAAAAAAATCAAACAGATTCCCCCTCCATGCTACACAGCACAGAAGAACAAATGTTCTCCTGCAGCTATTGTACTTTCACCTGAATAAAGCACCTGAATAATTATGTGCTTGCACTTTTTGCCTGATGATATTCTGCCTTGCTCCTTCAATTTTTCAATTAAGGGATGTCAGGCAGGAGGCGACTAACAGGGCCAACCACTGAGGACATTGTGGCCTGATTCATCAGGCATTCACTCAGGGTATGGCCAGCTTAAAGGCTCATCTCTCAAAAGTATACTAGTAGGTTAGCTAGTATTTGCTAATATTTTCAGAAAAGGTAAAAGGACACTTACATGCCATTGCTCGGTGGTGTGCTTCATATAAATTAATATAAAATTTTCATGGGACAAGGAAAGACAAATTGGGCTGTTAATTATTTACGGTGGCGCTTAATCCTGAGAGATCAAGATTGTGACATTACAAAACCACAAACAAATATTTTTTTAACTCTGTATTGCAGTGGAAATGGAAGCTTGTTATTTTTGGACGCTTGATCTGCCACACACACCTATGACTAGTATGTAGACCCAGATGTTCAAATTTTGGAGGGGAACTTTTTGAAGCAGTAGATGTGGTCACTGTATAGCTGTGCTGATTGCAAATAGTTATAGCAGTAATTGCTGTGTCACGGTAATCTGCCCAACAATCAAATACCTTGTAGCTGTATTACAGTATTTACAGTATATGTTCTTCCAGCCATTGAAAACAAAAAGAATAGTGCATTTGAAACCCCTAAGTTTTCGTTAGCACACGTAAAGAGATGTTTTAGAATAATTCTGAACATTTTGAAACTTTTCATTTTTAACTGCTGAGCCAAAACATAGGTCCCATGTATACTGCACAAGGTCTTCTGGCGGTCTTTAAAACAATGTGGATAAAGAAAGGAAATTAATCTTGGCGTATAGTTTTTTTTTTAGATCAGTTATCTAGCATGTAAGTAGCCCTCCTAACTTCAGGACAAAACTATTAGTATGTAAAATTTACAATTCCTTTTAAAAGCATTCACTCCGTGGGTTTTCATGTTATTTCATATTTAATGTCATAGAACAGTGATCTCCAAACTGTTGCCCATGTGCTGAATATGGTCCTTTGCTTGCTTTTATCTGGCCCTTGGAGGACAGTTCATCACACTGATATGAGGCACTATTTCTCTCACTGACACCATTGATAAGGGACCATTCCTTCCACTGACACCAACGACAGGGCACTATTCCTCCCATTAATACCAATAATGGGGCACAATTCCTCTTCCTACTGACCACAGATGTTACAGTATGTAATTGTTTTACTCCCACTTACCACCAAGCCTGAGGCATTGTTTACTCCCAGTGACACTCTGGCATTTCCTGTTCCCACTGGCCACAGTTGCCCCCCTCCTCCCCCAAAGTCTAAAGGACAGTAAAACGGCCCTTCGTCTGGATAGTTTCGAGAACCCTGTCATAGAACATTGAATCACTGAGGAATATTTCATACTAATAGACAGAATAAAGACTTTCATCTCAAAGTGAAAACAGATCTCTTCAATGTGATTGAAATGAAAGAGTCTATTTCTGTTGTTCGGATACATTTTAATTTAAACAAATTAAATATGCAAAAACAATCTCGAGAGAGAGAGAGAGAGAGAGAGAGAGAGAACCTAAGGAGTTAATCCTCTGCTGCATTATGTAAAAAGGATGTTTCATCCTGTCTTCTCTGATAGCCCCCTTCTTCCACAGTCTTCAGTCCATCTGCTAATAGAACAGAGCATTGGGGGCAAGCTTCTCATGCTTAGTTTGGTGTGTATTGCTAGAGAGTTTTTTTTTTTTGGGGGGGAGTGCATGTGCTCAGCACAGGGCCAATCAGTGCTGTCCAGACAGAGAGCCAGGGGTCCTGCAGC